TTTTCTTCAAGCACTTTATAAAATGATTTTTATGGAGAAATGATGTTTAGCAAATCACTGATTTTCCCATCAAATCTGTTTGAAAATATTTAACAAACTCAGATATAGAATGTATGACTATTGATAGTTGGCATGTCATCTTCACTTATTTTTTATTTAAAAAATTTTTACAATCAAACGCTATTTCAGGCGAAAGTTGTAAATTACCGTTTTTCTCAATATGTATTTGCTTTAACTTTTTTTAAGTTAGCCATATATATATACACACATATATATATATATATATATAGCCATATATATATACACACACATATATATATATATATACACATATATATATATATGTGTATATATATATATGGCAGATGATAAAGGCAAAATTTGGAGCACTCATTCCAAAATAATCATCAGTATATAGAAGCAAAAATTTTCCCAGTACCGAGTTTGTTCACACGAGCATGGAACAAGTATCTTGGTAGGTATCCAACAAAAGCACAGCTGTGGATTTATTTTTTTGGATGAGTTGTAGTTTCAAGTGGAGGTGGGGATTTAAAAGAAATACATTTTTTCCCAAGAGTATATTTCATTGTTGGTCCCAGGTCAAGTTAATTATACAGCAGAGCTGCATTTTTGAATATGTCTAAGTGATGTTTCCCTGGACCACCCAGCATCACCCCGAAACTGTTGCATCATGCTGTTCTCTTTGTTTTTTCATGTTCCTCTCTTCCCATTGTCACTGGAGTTGTTGTATTTATTTACTTAGCTTTGTCTATTATTGCTTCTATGAAAGTAGGAACTTTTTCTGTCATGATCATCACTTTCTCCCTGTTATCTATAGTACTACTTAAATACTTGTGAATGAAGAAAAAATGATTAATTCATTTTATAGTACTCAATATAATGGAATTCGCTTATGTAATTGATGTGTAATGTTTCTGTCCATTTTCTAGAACTTACGTAATTTTTGAGGCGAAAAACAATTTTGCGGGCGCGTGTGTATGTGTGAAGTTAGAACATTGTCTGGCACATAATAAATGCTGCCTATTCTAAATAAACAATTATTGAAAATTATGGCTACTGCTTTTATAACATACGATCAATCATAATTTATTCACTTCAGAAATATGTGGGGTTGAAAGGCAGAGACTTTAGTGTTGAGGATATTTTCTCTTAAGGATTTAATAAGGGGGAAATGTTAGATATGAATCCTGAGTTTATACATTTGTTTAAAATTTATTCACTTATCTTTTGGGTACTTTGTATGATGGGATAAAAAGACATGGTGTTTATAGCAGCTGTGTTCACAATTGCCAAAACTCGGGAGCAATCAAAGATGTCTTTGAGCAGGTGAATGTATACATAAATTAGGGTGCCTCCAGAGAATGGAATATTGTTGAGTGCTAAAAAGAAATGAGCTGTCAAGTCATGAAAAGGCATGTAGAAACCTTGAATACATATTACCAAGTGAAAGAAGCCAATCTGAAAAGGCTACCTACTGTATGATTCCAATTATATGACATTCTGCAAAAGGCAAAACTATGGAGATGCTAAAAAGATCAGGAGTTGGTGGGGGAGGGGAGAATAGGTGGAGCACAGAGGATTTTTAGGGCAGTGAAAATACTCTTAATACCATAATGATGGATACAGGCCATCATACATTTGTCCAAACCCATAAAAAGTACACCACCAAGAATGAACCATGGTGTAAACTATGGACTTCAGGTGACGATTTCAGTGTAGGTTCAACAGTTCTAAGAAATGTACCACTGGTGGAGATGCTGGTAATGGGGGAGGCTGTGCATTTGTGGGGTCTGAGGGTATTGGGAACTCTCTGTACCTTTCCTCTCAGTTTTGCTGTGAACTTTAAACTACTTTTAAAAAGTCTTAATTTAAAAAAAAAAAATTTGAAAAGACATGATAGAAGTTATAAAAACTAATAGGGCAGTTGATGCAGTAACTTAGTTCATTTCCGTTTATAAGCTTTACTGCTGGTTCACAGTACAGTTTTGAGAGGTGAACTTTATCACTCTTTCCCCCTTGTTGTAAGTTTTTATTTCTTTCTTTCAGGAAAATCACACCTTTCTCCCACTATTTATTCATTCAGGAAATACAGAGCTAGCTAGGCAGTGGGCCAAACCCATGGAGGTCATTGGCGCCCTTTCATACCTCTTGGTACCAGAAGAAACATTGTCACATGGCTGTGTAAATATAATACTTTATTAAAGTGAGAATTGCACAGATTAAAGGAAAGCATTTTCCACTGTGCAGATGGATGGTCCTAATGTGCAGTCAGTTATTTCTTTATCTGCAAGAGCAGTAGTTGTGGGGTAAGAGGTTCACTCCTGGAAAGCCATCTGGTGGTGAGTCAGCCAGAAGCCTAAGGATGGACTGCCCATGACATGTGTTTTAGCTCAAGTAATTGCATACACTGAAGGTCATTTATGTAACGGTTGGGTTCTTTTCCCCCCTCAAAGCTAATAATCTGAGTAAACAGTTCCTTGCCATGGGTTCCGTGATGTTTTATTGTAATGTTATATGTCAAGTACACTTTGGTTGCCTCCCTCACAGCTCTAGATAGTAATTAAGATCACTCAGACTCTTCTTGCCATCAATCCTCAATTTGAATTATAAGTGATTGGAAGCAGCTTTTTAAAATATAAATAAACAAAAGCTGTAAAGTGTATATGATGTTGAAATTTAGGAGTATAGTAAAGCTGTATACTCTGCTAAATATCTGCAGAGTTTTTGTTCTTTAAAAGTTTAAGCTTAAATATTAAATTTTTACTGCATAGATCATGAAATGAGCTCTGATCTAACAGAATAGTCCATTTTTAAAGTTAATTATAGCTACTAGGAACATAGAAAAAGGACTGTGGTGCTGGTTCAGTGTTTACCTCCATTTGACCTCCAAATGTCAGAGCTTTTTAAGCTTTGGACAGATAGCTGCCTATGACAAGGAGATACAGAGGAAAAAAAGGCGATGAAATGAGGGGGCTGGGCAGTAACTAGGATTTAATACCTAGTTTTAATTGTAGCAAAGGTTCAATCACTAATTTTTAACCTCTTATCCCTGGAGATTTCAAGATTATTTTACCTCAAGAAGACTTGTAGCAGCTCCAGAGCTACTCATTCATTCATTAAAAACAGGTTTTCAGACACTTACTAGGAGTGAAACATTGGAGTAGGCTCTGAGGTGAAGAAATGTCTCTGGGTTTCAGATCTGCACCTACTTGGAATTAGACTACCCCCAGTGTTCCTATCCCAATCTGGGGTAAGGACGACAACTTGTTTGTTGTAGTGTCACCTTAGGCTTACCCCTCTCATGACATCTTTTGACCAGCATTCCCTAGGACAGAGTTCTCTGTTGCAAGGTTTTCTCGCTTGCTTGTTTTGTGTACCCTAAATGCTCAGAGTACCTGGATTTGGTAGGTTTCTCAATAGTGTTTACTGAAGAAAGGGGGGTGGAGGAAGACAGACATTTCCTGCCTTCAAAGAGCTCACCAACTAGAGACAAATTATGTAGTAAGAGTGCCATATCCTTAATGCCATAAATTATAGTTTAAATTATAGCATAATAGGTGTTTGAACAAAGTATTTTAGTGCTACAGAGAAAAGAATTTTTGTGCTGCCATGGGGAAAGACTTAGAGGAAGGCAGTGTGTTAGTTTTTGTACTTTTTCATACTCTGGGATTTCTTAAGTGTTGAAATTAAGAAGCACAGAAAATAGAGACTAATAAAATTTTATATCTAGTCTGCATATCTAACATTGTAGACCTTTAAGATGAAAGACTAAGAATATCAGCGTCAGGGAGTTAGGTACTGAATGGAAGATTTAAAAATCAACATAAATGGACCACGTCAGTCAGATAAGCTGAAAAGGGAATAAGACTTTTAGCTTTACAGAAAATATTTGCCTGTTTTGTTGAAATCCATTGTTTCATTGAATGTGTAGGTAAATTTATAATATATAGTATTTTTACCCTAACAGAATTCTGCATTTTACAGGATTTTGCTTTAATGCATAAATATATTTCTTATTGCAGAATATCTCATTTCACTGTAGTACAGTTTGCTTCTAATTAAATTGTATCAGAATGTACCATTTTATGGAAAAACATTTACAAGTACTATTTTTTTATTTCATAAGAAAAAACGATTGAGTAGATACTGTCATCATTCTCATTTTATAGAAAACTAAGGGACATAGTAAGTAACTTGCCAAGGTCATGCAGAGTAAAAAGTGGTGGAAACAGGAGTCAGACTCTTACCTGTCAATCTGTCTGACTCCAAGGTTTATGTTCTTAATAACATAGCCACACCCTCTAGGACAATAGTTCTTAAAGCTAGGTCCCAGAGGCCTCTGGGAGTCCCTGAAACCACTTCAAGGTCACAAAGTTCAAACTATTTTTATAATAATATGAAAACATTATTTGCTTTCTTATTGTATTGACATTTGAACTGATAGTACAGAAAACAATGGTGGGTAAAGTTGCTGGCTCCTTAGCATAGAGCGGACATTAGTACCAAATTGTACTGATAGTAATTGTATTCTTCACTGCCATGTACTTGCAGTTAAAAAAAAAAAAAAAAAAAGCCAGTTTCACTTAAGAATGTCCTTGATGATATATTTAAAATGTTTAATTTTATTTAGTCTTGACCTTTGAGTCACATCTTTTTCATATTCTGTAGGACTAAGTGAATGCACACATAAAGCACTTATGCTGTATACCAAAGTCCATGATTGTCTCAAAGAAAAGCATTGTGTCATTGTTTGAGTTGCAAGCTGAACTAGCCACTTTTCATAGAACACCATTTTTACTTGAAACAGTGATTGACAGACAAACTGTGGTTTGTAGCCTTGAGTGCAGGTGCTTTTCAACTTATGATGGGGTTATATCCCAATAAATCTGTCTCAAATTGAAAGTATCATAAGTCCAAATGCATTTAATACACCTAACCTTCCCAACATCATAGCTTAGCCTACTCTACCTTAAATGTGCGCAGAACACTTATTTTGACTTACAGTTTCATCTCAAGAGTAATTACCTTCCTTCTTTTTGTCACCAGAAGCAAAAGACATGTTTTGTAGACATGATGGGATTCAAAAACACAAAACACAATTTCCAAAAAATGACACCCTCAGCACAGTGAACTGTAGAGTACCAGTTGTTTATCCCATTACATGGCCAGCTGGGAGCTGTGGCTGGCTGCCGCTGCCCAGCCTCACTGGAGAGTATTGAACTGCATATCTCTAGCCTGGGAAAAGATCAAAATTCAAATTTTGAAGTAATCCACTCTTAGTGGAGTCTCTGGACTTACTTCACTAATGAGAATTTAGTAGATATGTCATTTCCTGGGACCTGTGGACTGTGTGTAGTCAGGTAAATGTCGAATGCAGTTCTATTCTTAGACCTATTTATAGGGTTTGGTGATTGGATGCTAAAGCTAAAAATATCTGAATGTGTGTTTCTCTGAATCTCTCCCCCTCTGCAGGATGACGTAGCTTTGCCAAAGACTTAGAAGCTAAGCAGAAAATGAGCTTAACATCCTGGTTTTTGGTGAGCAGTGGAGGCACTCGCCACAGGCTGCCACGAGAAATGATTTTTGTTGGAAGAGATGACTGTGAGCTCATGTTGCAGGTAATTGCATCAGCCTTCTATATGTGTCTACTCAAAACCTAGAACTGGTATAAAATACTTTTCTACTTCTTTGGGGAACAACCTTACATAGATTTCAGCTTTCTGGCTCTCCCTCTTTTAACTCTAGCTACCAGTTTAATTAACTTTCTCCTCCTTGAATCATTTAAAAATAAGTTCTAAGTCTTGGGAATTATATTTTGAAAACTGAGAGCCCAAGTGTAGAGAAGTTTATTCTTAAGTAAGAAGTTTCATATTAAGCAGTGTTAAAATAAGACTTGTGAGTAATTCATAAAATTAGCATAGCATGGAATAAACTGAATTTTAATCATGGACACTTCAGTGATACTATTATTAGTCTCACTGCTTCTTTTGGAGATGTTCATTGTGATACCTTCCAGCAGGTTGAGCATAATTGAACATCTTTGATATTTACTGGACTTGCTTTAAAGGAGTTACTTCTAAAAGATACTTGTAAGATATTTTTGAGTGAGATGAGTAGCAGAAAAATGGATCTTTAGGTTTTTCAAGATTAGATATTTTAATAGATCCTGGCAGTCTAGAATAAAGTTTTATCCCCTTGTTTCTTCCCTACCCCCCCTTTTTGGTTAAAAACTGTAAATGAAAATTTAGAACAGAAATATTTATTAGCCTATTGGTTTTCAACTGGGGGATCCTGCCTCCCCAAGGACATTTAGCAATATCTGGAGACATTTTGACTGTTACAAATGGTGGACGTTTAGAGGTTGTTGCTACATGTAGCAAGTAGTGACCAAGAGGGTAGGGGTGCTGCTAAACTTTCTGCAGTATACACCATACTTTTTCCCACCATTACCAAATACAACAGAGAATTATCTGGCCCAAAATATCAGTAGTGCTGAGATTGAGAAACCCTGAATTATCCCTAGAGGAATCAAATTTGCATATGCTTATTACTTTAAAACTAAAGAACTTATTTTATAGTTTTTAGACAATAAAAGTAAAGCCACTGTCTAGCTTTATGGGTAGATGAGTAAGTTGCGTATACGATGACACCTTAAACAAATTCAGTGACAGAAATAGAACAGTACAGACACTTTCTGGGCTACTCAGTGAGATGGAGTAGCAACTCAGTGAGATGGTGAGCGTGGCAACTGAGAACAAGGCAGTAATAATTCTGTTTGGATATAGGCCCATTGGAACTGGACCATATCTTAGCTTCAAATCGGGGGTACATTCATCAGAGAGTGGAAGAGGTACTTTCCATGTGTCATCCCAAGAAATGTGGGAATGTCTGGTTTAGAGCTTCCTGGATTAGTATCTTCTTACATGGAAATAAAGAATGTTATAAATGGAAGCTGAGAGTCCAAGGAGACCAACGTGGGTCCCCATTCATGAAAAGCTACACAGAGGAAGAACTCTGCAGAGGGTCACTTTTGAGTATGCATTGAGCACTGATGTTGTTAAATTGTATGACGTGTCATCATTTGGGAGATCTGTGTAACTCAGGGAACCATTATTTTCCAGGTGTTGGAGAGCCTTGTGTGCTATATTCTATATATTTCACCTTAGCCAGTAAGACTATTGAGGAACTTTTAAGCAGGGCACCGGTACCTTTTCTGATCCCACCTGACATCCTGACTCCTTCACTTGTCAATCCCCAAAGTTGGAATGGCTTCTCAGTGCAGTGCGCTGTTGTTCTTATATGTCTTTAGTGTGCTTTACAGTTTGAGTGGTTTTTAGATTTAATGCACATGTTTTACAGTGGATACAGCTGTAATTTGCCATAATCAATGGTTTTTCAGGTAAACTGTAAAGAAGTGGCGGTGATACTACTCTTTATAAAGTTCCTATTAATTCTGATATTTGCAAATTGTCCTAGAGAAATCAAGATTTCAGAGAAAATAAAATGATACTGGAAAACAACCTTTAGAACTTTTGGGAAGATTAAGAGTGTATGTGTGATTGTTTGGGTTTTGTTGGAAGATTGTTTTAAGTCACACACTGTTTCTTCCTAGTGTCAGCTACTTTAGGATAGAGATTTGTATCCTAGAAAGAAGGCCTAAAACTTTTTCAATATGGAATTTAAGCTAACTGGGAAAGAGCTTTTAATTTTATAATATTTACTTGGAAAGGTTCATTTCATCTAGGATTTACATCTGTATTGTTATTTTATTAGATGCTAACCTGTTCCTCCATATGTAGCTAGGAGGTAGGCTCTGTTTGTTTGCTTTAGCTAAAAATGTCAGAAGTTAACATTTCCCCAGAAGCCTTTGTTTTTCTCTCCCCTGTTGTCTCTTGTCTTTCCCTAGAGACTCCTTCTTAAATAGTCTGAGTTGGTTTTTTTTTCCATTGTAATCCCTTATTTTGTGTGTGTGTGTGTGTGTGTGTGTATAAATTCCTGTTAGGATGGTGAGGCCTGGGGGAGGGGAAGCATTCTATAATTCTATGAATTTTAGTTCTCAGTCTTTGAGTGGGGCTGTGACCTTCATAGGTGCATCTCACCTTTTTTTTGTCTTCAGGTGAGACAGAAGGGCTAGAGGAGGCTGGAGTTGGACATTTCCATTCTCCTATGTCTTAGAGTCTGGTGAAAGCCTTGTTGGTTGAGTGCTGGTAAAGTTGTTTCCTTGAGGGCAGGCATTGGTAAGAACAGAGTGCTCTGGATGTATTTCAATGTGGTTACTTTCCCCTCAGCCCTCCTGCAGCAGGAGAAGATTTTTCTGTCTTCACCCTGAGATCCTTGTGGGTCTTCTGAAGAGAAAACTAATGAAAAAGTGATGTCCCCTCAAGGCTGTGCCCCTAGGTGTTTTTATCTCTTGGTCACACTCAAGTCTCCAGCAATTAGTCACAGTCACTTACCTGTAAGTTTTCCCACCAGTTGCTGGCTAGGATAATGGTTTCTGCTTCCAGTAAGCTGTGATCCTCTGTGTTTGCCTGTCTCTCCAGTTTTTAGGTTGGTAATTGGTCTTATGACCTCAATTCTCTGATTAAAATAAGATGAGATTTTGATTTTCAGTTTGGTCAACTTTGTTCTTGCAATGGGTACAGTGACTTCCAAGCTCTTTGATGTGTTGGACTAGACACTGGAAGTCACATCTCCTCTCCATTTTGGGTACTTCTTTTGCTTAGAGCATGTCGAGGTTCACATAGTAACCCTCCAGTAAACGGTTATTGAGTTCAGATTGAGTGGTTCTCAGACTATTTCTTTCTGTGATTGTACTGTATTTGTTTTCTTTCAATAAAAGTTTCCACAGGCTTGTAGTTTATCTTTCAGATGCTCCCATCTGCAAACAGCTCACTAAGCTCTGGAGGAGGAGGGAAGAGCTTTAAAGAGACTTAGAAACAATTTTCAAAAATCAGTTTGTCATTTGAATTCCTTTTCTGACTTTCTCCTTTCCTCTCAGTTTTTTCATGAATTCCAGTTTTAGGATTCATGTTTGAAGTGAGGATAATTTTATTCAGGAACATGACACCTTGTGTCCCTTTTCTCTAAGTCTCTGGACTCCTTATACGAGTTATGTTGTGGTTTTCAGTATTAAAAGAAGAAAATGCTATAGGGTAAATTTTTTTTTTACGATATACATAAAACATTATGAAATTATAATTCACATGATTTCCATGTAACAGTTTCACATTATAAAAAAGTATTCATACATTCAACATTTGCTGATTTAAATTCTCTCAAGTAGAATGTGTGAATTTGGTAGAAAAGAATGTCTTGAAATTATAGCTGCTTTGCTCTTTCGGGAGTGACGCCAAATTTGTGTTGTATAGTAACAGTTTAAAAGTCATTTAATCCACTTTTACTTTGCTATTTCCCTATATTTATCTAGTAACTTATTAATATAAAGTATCTAGCCAGAAATCTTTGTTAGTTATTTATTGTTATTTTCTTATATTTATTAAGTTTAAAAAATGCCTTTCAGTCTCGTAGTGTGGATAAGCAACACGCTGTAATCAATTATGATGCCGCTGCAGATGAGCATTTGGTAAAAGACTTGGGCAGCCTAAATGGGGTAAGTTAAGAGTTTATTTTTTGTCTTATTTGATTATCAGTTTAAGGTTGTAAGAAGACAAATCCGATTACATTTCCGACTTGTGTTCTATTTCCCTTAGTTTGCCTTTTACTTTTAAACACTAGGTACATAGCACTTTGGGGGACCATACAGTAGAATAGAAAACTAGCCCATGTTCCCAAGAAACTGTATAGGCAGTAAATACAAGAATTCAGAAGGTCGCTGGTGATTATCTGTAATGTTTAAGAAAGTCTCCTTTGAGGAGATGAGATGAAAGGTTGACCTCACTGAGTGGCTTAAATTTATCTGTGGGAAAACAGTCAAAAGCCGTGGCAGTAAGAATGCAGAAAAGCATTCCTGGGAGACAGAGAAGTGTGGCTTAACTTTAGAAAATAAAGGGGGAGTAAATTGGTGCTAGATGGTGAAGGACCTAGGACCTCGATACCATAGCACAGAGAAGTGAAACATGCCCATTTCCCTGAACAAATACGATCTAAACACCAGTGTTCATTACTGTGGCTTTGAGCCCCACTTTGAAGACATTTTTGTGTTACTGCAGTGAGTTTTTTCCCTAATTCTTCATCTGCTCACTCTACATGGGCAGAATATAAATAGCTACAGAATAAGAAAAAGCTGAGGTATCGAATAATTTCTTGGTTTTTTTCTCCATTTTCTTAATGGCTCTGCTAACTAAGCAAATACAGTATTGTTCATATTGGTGTTGTTGAATATCTTAAAATGAATGTAACAGAAACGAAATGTATCCCAACTGGTTCTAACTGCTACTGCTTTTCAAAACATGCATTAAATATTATATGCAAAAACATATGCAGAAAATTGGCAAATATTGCAAAACACTTTTTCTTGTTCTGAATTGGCCTGCTACCGAAGGACTTTTATGTTTACTCTTGAGATAATTTTTTTGTTGGTGTGTTTTTCTGTTGGTTTTACGCAGCCTTTATTTGTTTCTCATGGCACATAGGACTAAGTGTATATTCTTCAGGTTTGAACTGAAATATCTCACATTTGGCATCCCCCGCATTTCCAGATTCAGGCTCCATCACACTTTCCCTTGCCATACCTCCAAACAGCAGTTCATACTATACTGTCTCCTCCAAATAATTTGTTAGAGTTTCTGCAGCCTAGTGCTTCTCCCATCTGTCTTTTCATTTATAAAATCTGTACTTATTTTTAAAAGTAAAACCCAAATTCCACTTTTTCATGAAGGAAGCAAAGAAAAGGTACTTAGGAATATTAACTTGCCAATGTTGTTAACATGTTGAATGGATTAAAGTATCAAGAGATAGGCAGACTAGGTAGAAACTGTTTTATTTTTATTTCTTAATATTTTTAAAGATTTGTTTAATTGATTCTTTTAGAGAGAGGGGGAGGGAGAGAGGGAGAGAAAGAGAAACATGGATCGGCTGCCTCCTGCACGCCCCCTACTGGGGATCGAGCCCGCAACCCGGGCATGTGCCCTGACCGGGAATCAAACCAGCAACCTTCCAGCGCATGAGATGATACCCAACCAACTGAGCCACACCGGCCAGGGCTAGAAACTGTTTTAACATGAGGCATATAAGTAAGCAAGCGGTTTTGATTCCCAGCTCCTATCTGCAGAATTACTGTCTTCCTTCTCTGCACCTATAAACCTTTGTGTTAATTCCTTGTTGGGGTGCCGATTCTCAGCCTTGTATTAAATCTACTTTTGCACTCTGTCGCTGTGCTGCACTGTGAGCTCCTGAGCAGTTCCTGTGTCCTTTGCTTTTTATAAATAGACCACAGTGCCTAGCTCAGGGCTCTGCACGGTGTATGAGCCCACTAAATCTTTTTCGAATGGAATTAATTTTCTATATGAAGGCATTTACGAACTTTAAGTCTACTTCTGTACATAGAATATTTTAATGATGTCGCATTCTGTTTTTAAGTCTAGAAAGTTTCATCTTGAGCACAGGGCTGTTCAGAGGTATCTTTACATTATTATCTTGGAAAATTAGAAGTGAGAGTCACATCACAGTGTAATTTGTAATGACCAAATATAAAAATTATTTGGTGTTGTTATAAAACCAGGTGAAATACTAACTTCTAAGTTTCTCTAGGCTGTCCTTTCTCATAATTTGATTATATTGAAGAATTTTATGAAATACAGTAACTCACACAGAGCAACATTGGCATTTTGAGCTTGAAATCAGGACCTGGATTTGAATCTCAGCCTGTAATTTACCAGTGGTCTAACCTGGGTCAAACCACTTACTCTCTCTGAGCTTCAGTTTCCTTAGATATTAATTCCCATATTAGTTCCCAAAGTTGTATGAAAATGTAATGAGTTGACATTTATGAATTTGAAGACTCAATGCAAACTTTAGTTACCTTGCTTCGGCTTTAAAACAGTGAAACAGCAATTCTTGCTCTATAGTGTTGAAATGATTAAATGTGATGATACATGTGGGGATATGCCTGTTACAGAACCTCAAAGCATCACACGAATGATAAATGTACTGTCACCCAGCTGACAGCCTAGGAAAAATGCCAGAACTGACTCTGGTAGCCAAAGTCTGTGAACTACCAACTGTCACACATTTTATTCATAAGAGAATGTGTAGACTATTGTTCACAGCCCACTTACTCCTAATATTCATATTATTCTAGAAATGTGAGCATTAGGTCAAAAGGAGTCATTTCAGAAGTCAAGGGATACGTGTACTGGTTATGATTCAGCTTGGAATCATACAAGTGATGTAACCTTAGACAGGTTGCTTAATTCTTCTCTTTCTCAGTTTTTAAAATAGAAATAGCAAACTGGTAGTCCTCTCAGGTTGTTGTGAAGCTATAAGTAAGTTAATATAATTTTAACCACTTTTAATAGTAAGCGTTCATGTTAGTTTTTATTATGGTAAGAAAAGCAGTTATACAAGTTTAGCACCCTGTAGCCTTTATACTTTTCCAGAAATACATTGTTGTGTTTTTTTAAAAGCATTTACCAGCTAAGCTCCATTTATAAATCACTCTGCCTGTGACCACTTCCACTCCTTCTTTCTTTAATTTTACCCTAAAATATATTCCCAAGAGACCTTGATCTACACTTGGTGTTGTTGCTACCAGAAGCAAGGTCGCTCTGCCTGGGGAGGCAGAACTGGACCTGTAGCTGATATACCGAGTCTTTTCCCTGCGAGCCCCTGAGGCTTCTGTCCAGGACAACCCTGGTTTGCCTTCTGTTCTCCTGCCTCCTCCCTCCCTTGCAGCATCGCCCCTCTGACAGCACCAGGCCCTGTGGTACCACTCGCAGCCATTCCAGCTCCGCCTGTTGTTACGAGGCTGCCCCCCAGCTCCCTGCGTCCACACTGGGGTTCCTGGTGGCATCAGACCAGTGCGGTGTGGAATGTGGCAGATACAGAGGAATGGTTGGCATAGCAGAGGAGCCTTGTCCCTGGCAGTGTGGTTGAAGTGGCTGCGCTCCTGGCCATTCCGTTCCGATTTCCAGGAGCATTAATGTGATGCGTGGTGGTTATAAGAGTTTATGCTTTCAACTGTGTGATTTAGTTGCATGTAAATTAAGTAAGTATCTCGTTTGGTTTGCTTCTGTGGGGTTCGTGGTTCGCATGGGGGAGTTTGGGGAGCTGCCTGGCTTGGGCACCCAGGCTTCCTTGGGTGGAGGGAGCCTGGGATGTGTAGTTCAGAGGCCTGAGTCTGAATTCCACGGTTCCTCTGAACTCGAGGTCTCCGTTGTTACTTCCCCCTCTGTGCCTCCTTGTCCTCGCCCATCCTGCCTACGGGGTAGTCTGATCAGATGGTGCACTAGAAAGCACACCTTTGTCTTTGCATGTTTAATTTATTAAAATGCTTTATAATTGCTGTAAGGAGAGGAGTTTTTGCATGTTTGCTCTTTGACATTTTCTCTCCTCCTTTCAGGAGACTCTGTTTCCCCCCAGATGTTTTCACTTCGTTTTTGTGAGATGAAATTTGTGCCTGGCTCATATTTCCTAAGCCTTTTTAGACCTTAGGGAATATTCCTGTCATAAATGCCACATGTTAAAATTATATATTTGTTGATCTCTGAAAGTACCTAGTCCATGGGTTTCACACACAATAGGTACTTAATATTTAAGAGAGTTGAGCAATCTTGAGCTTTAAAATGGATCTTATAGATCATCTTAGGCCTTTTGAGTAACTATGATGTTTTAGGTTGAGATATGTATTTTTTTAATATATCTTTATTGATTTCAGAGAGAGGAAGGGAGAGGGAGAGATAGAAACTTCAATGATGAGAGAGAGTCCTTGTCGGCTGCCTCCTGCACGCCCCCCGCTGGGGATGGAGCCCGCAACCCGGGCCTGTGCCCTGACCAGGAATCGAACCACGCTCTCTTGGGTCCTAGGTCGATGCTCAACCGCTGAGCCATGCCAGCCAGGCAAGGTTGAGACACTTTAAAATAAAATTGGCCTAGAACTGTGGCATCACATACGCAATGCACCTAATTGTTTCTCTTCTGCATACTGCACATCAGTGAATGAATCTTTTTGTTTTATTCTTTCTTTCCTGTCATTTTCCTCAGCTTTTTGTTTTGTAATTATATATAGGATATTTTGGTAAACTCAAGATATAAGTATTAAAACACTCTAAAATACTCACTTTGCAAATGAATCTGAAATTAGAGTTTTAATGCCCGATGCCTTTGAATTTTCTTGGGATTAACATTTCAGCCTTCTGAGAAGCACGTTGGAAGCTTGGGATTTAGGGTTACTCATGAACCAGCCATACTGGGGTGTGCTCTGGAGCTGTAGCCATATGCCACTTTCTCCACTTACTCCACTTATCTGTGCTCCAAATAAAGGTCTCAGCTTCTAATTTTCTTTTGTAAACTTAGAAACTGCTCTCTTTGGTGTTGCAAAGTGTCGGTTATGCATAGGGATTTGAGAATCTGATCATAACAACATAATCCCTTCTACATTTTACTGAGTGTCGTTCAGGACCCTTCTGAACTCCCTCATCATGGAGGGAGCCTTCCCAAGTAAGGCATGTGGCCATCTCAACTGTAATAACAGAAGATGGAAAAATTGAATTCAAAGGGAAAGAGTAAAGTAATTTTTAAAGTTCTAACTTATCAAAGAAAACCTTGTTGGGTATTTTGTATGATGTCTGGATCCTGGGCAATTAAGTGTAACATTGTTCTGTGTTCTGTAAATCTAGAAATTCTACAATTTCTAGATATCTAGGTCTTAAACTTCTAGAATGCTGGGAATAACTGTCATCACTATTCGCCATCTGTGTCTAGTGACCCTTTGACTTTTTACAAATGATTTATAGAATTAAGCAAAAAAGATAATGAAAAACAATGTGAAATTTTAATAAAATATTAGGCATGACAGACTCTAATTTTTATTCCATATTTTTCTGGTTTTGAAAGGTATATAATACACAAAATGGTTTATGTTCTTCAAATGCCACTAACTACTCGTTTGTCATGGCATTCGACTGGGATAGATACGTCCATTTTATAAATGCCAAATCCAGATTTCANGTCATGGCATTCGACTGGGATAGATACGTCCATTTTATAAATGTCAAATCCAGATTTCAAGTACATCTCTAGCTGGTATCTCATTTTTCATTATTTCCAGTTGTTCTTGCATTGTCAAAATTTTATTAAGAGGATGACCATCTTCTACAATTACAGAACATTTCTTATTTTCAGATTTCTAAACAACAGTTAGAAGAATCACGCAATATTTTTCAACAGGAACTAACCTAAACCATTATGTATTTAAAAAATGTTTTATAACTGGATTTTTCTTTTCTTTTTCTTATGCTTGTGATCTGACCATTATATAAAGACCTTCCTTGAGCATTTGTCCACTTACAGACTCAACCAAATAAGTGTTGGAACACAAGCATCAAAAAGGGAAAGAATTGGGTCCAAAATATTGTTTTAATACATAATGGTTTAGGTTCGGTTTTTCTTGAAAATATTGCATGATTCTTATTGAATGGCTAACTGGATGAAAAGTGCCCTGTAAGTATTTTGTCCTTAAAGCTTTCTTCTCGTTTCTTGTGTTGGAGAAGTTCTTTCGCTGGAGAAAATTCATCTAGGATTATCTTTACCCGAAGACTCATGGTCTGATACTTTGCTCACATTATTAGCAGTTTTACCTTTGTTAGTATAGACTAGGGTGCTACTGTCTACCTCTATGAATTTATCTTGTAACTGTGAAATATCTTCCTGTTTTCTTCCCCTTTCCTTTATGCACATTAAAGAAAAAATGCTGAATTCTCAGTTGATTGCTAAACAAACAAAAAAAGGGACAAAGATTGTGTGTGTCTCCAGATGTTTTTTATATTTCTTGGAAAGATGGTGCAATGTTTTGGGCAACGCAGTAAGGAAACTGAGGCTTGGTGCAATAAATGGTGATTTATCTCATGATTGCACCATCCTGCGTATCTCTGCTTACTCACTACAGTTGCCACTAGCGCTGTGTGGCTGGTGAGCACTTCAAATGTGAAGCCTTAAAAAAAGAATGTAAACGGTCTTGTTAATTTTATATCCATTATCTGTTGAAATGGTACTATTTTGGACATGCGGATCAAATGAAAAGTATTTATTAAAATTAATTTTGCCTCTTTCTTTTTAACTCTTGAATGTGCCCACTAGAAAATTTAATAGTATATGTGAGGCTCGCAGTATATTTCTGTTGGGTAGTGTTTATGTTAGGTAATGCCTTTGTTGTATTCTCTTGCTTTGGTCATTTTAGCATAGTTAGAAATAATTGATGAGTAATGGGAAAATAATTACAGGATAGTGAAATACTAGAATGTTTTATGATACAGAAAAAATAAGATCTCATATGTGTCTTAGATTCATAAAAGGGTCCAAAGGACTCATCACAACTGTAAAACAGAATGACTTTTATTCAATTTTTTAAAAAGTAGGTTTTCTTTTTGTTCTTTCGAAAATTCTAAGAATAAAACTAATGAAATAGCAATCCTCAGAAATAGTTAGAATTGTCCAAAGAAGCTAAAACTGAGTGCAGTGCATTCTGATGACATGGAGAGTTAAGGACCCTGTACCGTTTGCCAGCCTCAGATTAGGAGCTGTTCTTGGCACCATTGTTAGGTGCTGGATTTGTCTTGGCTATGGTAGGGTGGACCTCAGAGCTGCGACCTGGTTCTCTGTGTGTTACTATAATAGAGAGAAAGGGCTTAGTTTAAAATATTTTATCAGCCTATAAGGTGCACGACACATTTTGTGCTACACACACTGTATTAAGCCACCATATGGTATGTACTTCTGAGCATCAGTTTTCAGTATTTGCTTGTCTGAAATGTGATAATTAATGCTTCATATGTAACCTAACATCTGGGTTTTTTCCTTGTAGACTTTTGTGAATGATGTAAGGATTCCAGAGCAGACTTACATCACCTTGAAACTTGAAGACAAGCTGAGATTTGGATATGATATCCTTATATGATTTTGTGTATTTATTAAATTTATTCAAAAATCTTTACTCTGGTGTACATTAACATTTCTTGAGACATAAAAATTCACAATATAGCCATGCTAGAAGACTCTGTGTATTCCCCTACCGAAATACATGTTTAAAAATAATATCTCTATATTTTCGTTACTATGTTTGTTCCTAAAAATAATCCTGGAAAAATTTATGGACTCTGCACCCCCCACCCTCTCTCTATTTTTAGCAGAGGTCTTCCTGCAGTGTTATTACATAGGTAATTTGGATATCAAAAAATGTAACTGCAGAGAGGACAGGGGAGTATTTAATATTAGCCCAGCTCAGAGATTTTCTTTTTTGGTTGGGTGATAATGTCACCAACGAATTTAACCCTGCCTTGCCTTTCATTCCTTCTCTTACTCCATTTTATTTATTTCATCTCTTTGCCTATTTAATTCAAAAATTTTTAGTATCTTATGTCTTCTAAGACCTACGCTCTCCAGTTAAGTACATTAGGCACTTAGTGTGTATCGTAAAATCTTTTGTTTAAAAATAGGATTCTAAGAACTGACCAGGGTCATGACTGTCCTACCGAGAATCACTAGTTTAGAGATGGGATGTAATTAATTAAAGAATAAAATTTCCATCTATACAAAGCAAAAAGCTTTGTAAAAAGGACTATTTATATTTAAAATTCAAATATTACACATTATACCAAATGGGTGTTTTTTTTTAGTTTTAATTTTTTCAATTACTCCATTTACCTGGAATTTGATATTAACGAATATATTAAATGTATTGGCAACTTGGAAGGATTTTTATCACTAGCAGAGAAAATGTAGTTTTAGATAAGTAGAGTTGATATTCGGATAAAGTAAATGTACTAACACTTTAAAATCATTCTTAGAGCATAATTAGTTTTTATTTTATATTTAACTTAAACTTTATGAACAAATAGTGTTGTAGCACATCACATAACCTGTATACTCGGAGAGCCAAAGGAACATGTGAAAAGTGAAGCCACTCAACATTAACACTTTTGAATTGTATATTTTAAATCCCTTCTAAAATATGTATCACATAAAATGATTAAGAATTGGCATTAAAACCTTGATTTATGGGTCATTTTCCACCAGCATAATAAGTTTCATAAAAAAATAAATATAAGTATACATCATATTTAAGTACCTCCTTAACCGTTTGGCACCAGCTGTTTCAAAACATGAGACAATAGTAGGAAATAAGGGTAGTGATTGTGATTTATCCAGACTCGGAATGCTGTTTGCTTGGCAGTCCTGATTATGGCTGCTGAAATGACCCAGAGGGTACGCACATAATTAAAAAGTCACCCCTCATCCGAAGAAGTTAAACTTTCTCCTGAGTAGTGGGTTGCTATCCACAACAAAATAAGAACACACTTTTCAGATGTTAAAAATCCAAGGATATTTTCAAAACTCGAAAGGACTAAATTTAAGAAATTGAGATGAGCTACTTGATAAAAAGAACGAAGCCACAGAAGAGAAGTTAAAATTGGTTGTTTAAACACTGTTCCTGTAGAACAGGGTCTTCTACAAGTTGGACAAGGTACTCATCTGCTAAAATAAAACGCATATTTTTCCAAAGATGTAGACAAAATTAAGCTAATAGATTAAAATTTTTCCAGTGAATGGTTTCCTGCCATAACTTTTTTTAACCCTTGGGTATATCTTAGTACAGTGTGGACTGTAATGTGGCATAGTTATGTATTTCATGGTCATATATCATCAAATAAGGGAAATTTCTCATTTTCCTAATGAGAATATTCAAAAGAAAAAGGCTTTGGCAAAGTTGAGGACAATTTTTAAGAATAGCCTTCTTATGTCTGTATTTTTAAATCACATAAAACTATAGGAATGTAGAAAAAAATGCTTCCCATTCTTTCATTGTATAAAATAATTGTGTTCAAATATTCTCACTTATCAACGTCTTCAACACCATGAGAGTCACATATTTTAATAATATATCATAGTTTTAAAGAGAATGTTAATACCCTAAAACACTGGAAATCTTGTCCCAAGTAACAAAATCTCATTGTGTAATATTTGGAAAATTTTTAAAATTCCCCCCACTTCTTCTGTAACTGGTATTTCCCCAGTGGAACAGCTTAATGACTTAATTTTTAAAATAATTTTTGAAGGATGTGCTCATAATGATATCTGACACCTGGTGTTTTAAGGCCAGATCCCTAGGAGTAAGTGAAACTTGAAAATTTTGCTCTCTTTTTAGTCTTAATTATCATTAAGATAAAGGATGGTATCAGAGATCACGTTACTAATATATAGATGAGTTTCCATGATGCCACTTTTAAGTAAACATTTCCTGAATAAATTGAGCATAGAATGACTTAGATTAACACTCATTGTCTATGTAAAGAAATGAGGAATTAGCCTATAAGTATTATGATTTTTAATAAGCGAGAATTTAAACTTCTGGTTTTTTATTTTTAAAAATTCAGATACAGTTGACATGACTATAGTAAATCATATTGTATTATATATTTTGTAACTTACATCATGAGTCATTTTGTACCTTAGTTTGTCATTTTTCTTAATCAGCAAATTAAAAACAGTCACTTAGGTCTGTACCACTTGAAAAGCGGTAGCGTTGAAGATAAAATCTGGGGCAAGGGCAACCTCAGCATCTCATAGCCATACCAGCGCTCTCAGGCAAATTCATGAACTAAACAAGGAATCTTGAGTTCTTTTGCAGTCCCACACCCAGGAACCTATCTCAAGTTTTCCCTAATCTTAAAAAGTCTCAGTCTAAAGGTGGTGCCCCAGACTAGCCTTGGGGAACAGCTTTCAAGCACTCCAGGGGATCCCTGGAAGCACCAGAAAACCCTCACAGTGTGCGAAAATAATTTGTGTTTCATTGAAAACATAGAAGTGGCTTTCAATTCTTAAAAGATGCTCTGTTTGCCATTGAAAATGTCAGAATGCAGTGAATCTTCAACTGTTGAGTTTCTTGGGGGTAAAGCAAAGTTACAAGACTTCTATTTTTCATTAAGTATACTTAGTTATGAAATACACACTTGCATATATGCCAGCAAATATGTACCGGCATATGTTCATGACAAAAAAGGAAGTTTTTTAGTATCTCACAGCTACAGGAAGCAATGCAGAGTGATCAGGAAGCCCCAGACTAGGGTCAGGTGAGCAGACTATTACTGTCTTTGGGTTCTGCCCCTCCAATCCTCAAGTTCCTTAACTATGGCATAGGAAGCCGGATTAATGGAATTGAAGGGTATATTCCCCAAAGCTCTTGACAATTCTAAAAAAAGTCTGCATTTTTATTATTTTAATGAGTAGAAATATAGGTTAAATACTCTTTTACATGTGTACCACTCTATGCATGGGAAGCCTCCCCTCCCCCAACCCCCAAGTAGTCATGGTAATTATAGCTTTCTACCCTTGAAGTCGTGGGTGCTGTGAATTGGTAAAGAATCTAATTTAGTACATGGTTATAAAAGCCTTTTCTTTACAGGGTTAGGTAATGGTGGGAAATGTGACCTCTACTGTTCAGCGGAAGATCTTTTTAATATACAGAGGCATTGTTCTTTGGGGCTAATAATGAAAGCATTCATTATATGCACCACTTGGTTCTAATCTGTATAGAATCAGTTGTTTGATAATGTAATCTGACCCTGATTGCAGTTCATGGGGTAAAGAGGTGGCTGTGGTTGCTGTCAGGACCCTAAGTATAGCATTTCTTTTGCATTTTCAAAATGAGCTTCATTTTTATCAGTGCTGCTGGAGCCTGAGTCATTGAATTCCTCCAGGATTTACTGTTGGGTAATCACTGATGAGATACTTCCTTCTACGTTTTTTGTGATTAGCTATCAATATAATTTAATCCAGATGCTTTCTTCTTTGTAGTCACGTTGTTGGAACTGAAAATGTCTTTTGCACTCTGATGAGTTACCCAGTTATTTGCTTGAAGGCCATTATTACCTAAGTTTAGAATTACTGGCTAGATACCAAGGTTTCCTTTGATATTTATTTTTTATTCATTGATTTTTTAAATATATATATTTTTTTATTTTAGAGGAAGGAAGGAGAGAGAGAAACATCAATGACAGAGAACATCAGTCAGCTGCCTCCTGCATGCCCCCTGCTGGTGGTTGGGCCTGCAACCCAAGCAGGTGCCCCGACGGGGAATTGAACCAGTGTCCTCTTGGTGCATAGGTCGACGCCCAACCACTGAACCACACTGCCTGGGCTCTGGTATTTCAAATAGAAAATTTTTTTATTTGTGAACATAGCTTAACATTTAACTCTTAGGGGACTCTAATAATTCTGCTATAATTACCTGCCTCAAATAGGACAATTTCAAAATGATAATTCTTCCTTAGCCCCGTTTACATACAAATCTTTTCACTGTAGTACGAGGAGAAATGAGGGTCCCTGAAGAAGCTCTAAAGGTAAAATCTTTTTACTTATTTCTTCTGTAAATACCGTTTACTAGGCTTGGTTTCACTCACGGCTATTTCACTGAAATGTTTTGTAGCATGAGAAGTTTACCATTCAGCTTCAGTTGTCCCAGAAATCTTCCGAACCAGAATTATCTAAACCTGCATGTGCCAAAAGTGCAGATTCAAAGGCGCCAGAGCCTGCTCCGGAGGTTCAGCACAAAGCTACAGAGGCGCTGAAGTCAGAGGAAAAAGCCCTGGGTGGGTAACCTCATCAGAAATACCACGTTTATACTCGATTGCGAAGAAATGGCAGGCTTTGTTCTCAGAAACTTGGCCATGTCCTTATAAAAATAATAAACAATAACAATAAAGACAATTTCACAGTGGTGGGTTTTAATGCAGCCAGTGGTTTCATTATATGGCAGTTGTATGTAGGTGTGTTTCATATGTTTAAATATGTAAGGGAAGTAAATGTAATTTACCTTATGGTATTTTTTTAATCCCTTTTTGTTTGCTTTTTCTGAAATGAATTCATAGGAAATAACCGCTGATGCTACATCATCATAATCATCGTATTTATTATATTTGTGAAGCCTTATAAATAATCCCATCATACAAAAATAGTTTTTTAAATTGAGAAACATTACCAGCTTTGTTCACGTGTAAATCTATTAGTATTATTAACAGCTAGTTTAAATTTAGTTACTAGGCAATGCCCTACAGCTTAAAATGTTTTTTTAAATGGTCACTCATACCAAAATTTACTTTAATCTTTTATATTTAGACTTAATGAGTCACCTCTACATATTAAAGAACTGATTATAGTGTAGTAAAAAGTTACTGGGCTCTGGCAGTTTCCATTACTTAGGTACTAGCAAGTGCAAAAGCTCATTTATTTAGTCATGTCTAACATTGAATAAGTTCTTACACAAATACTAAGTTATTTAACTAAAGTACTTTTCAGCTATATAAACTATACTTTGTTTTTCATTTAATAAATCAACCAGGCAATTCTAGCCGTCAGCAAAGGCGTGTTCTTCTCTGTTTCATATGCTCTAGAGAGACTTTCCCCCCTCTTTCCAGATACTTCTGCCATGCCCCGCGGTACTCCATTGTATGGGCAGCCTTCGTGGTGGGGGGACGATGAGGTTGACGAAAAAAGAGCTTTGAAGTCGAATGGCAAACCAGAGGGGAAAAATCACGAAACTGGAACATCAGGTAAAGCAGATCTCAGCTTCGGAGACGTGGGGAGATTGGGGGATATCATTATCAAGCAAGAAAATGTCTACCCTAAAAAGAGATATCTGCTTCTCTTTAATTTGATAAAAATAGTTGATGAATGTTTCAATAACATTGGCAGTTTAATTTAAATTCATTTATTCTGAATGATCCATAAATTATTAATTCCAGTATCTTTGTAAATCATTCTAAAATATTTTTTCAGCTTATGTATGAGATTGTTATCACTTGGGAAAAGATTAATAATGTAATCGGACATCTTAAGTAAATATTCACTATCTATCAAAATAGTAGATACAGATTGATTTGGGTGTGTTTTCATTAGGTTCACAAGCATATAATTACATTTCTAAATGAACAATTTCTACTGTGTTTAGAAACGTGATATGAAATGAAAATCTTGTTAAAACCTCTCCGTATCCAATTTGCTGGGATAGCGTAGCAACAAGATTAGCTTAGTTCAGCAGCAAGAATGAAGAAATAGCTCTGGGTCACATTCTCGGGTCAGTAGTGAGGGAACATTTTCTTTCTGTTGCCAGAGGGGTGTAGCTGTGAACTAAGTGTCCATAAGCCAGAAAAATCAAGATTTTCAGGAAATAGTGATATACGTTGTCCGTCCCTTAAGGACTCACAAAGACATCAGCAGGGAAGGCTGGAACAGGCATGGTCCGGGCTAACAGCAGATAAGCATCCAGGCCTGAAGGCACTAAATGCAGGCCCCTGGGAGCAGGATGGGAACAGCTCTGGCTCGGAGTCAAGGGGCGATTCCATCAGAACACGTCTCAGTTTTCTACCTTTGACCCCAATTCTACACGAGAAATACGACTTTTGTGTTTCTCTGCAAAATAAGAACACAGGTTCTTTAAATATGCTCTAATTTTTCCAGCACACGTGCCTCCGAAAGCTGGCTTTATTGACATGCTTTTGTGGTACCTCAAACTAAAGTTAGGAACTTTGCAGATCAGTTCCCATCACAGCTTCCTTGTCTCTAAGACCAACACAGGTTTCTTCATGCCCAAGCTCAGCAGCTCAGTATTACTGGGTGCACCCGCAGGTGCAGATAGCAAACGCTTCCTGAGGCTAAGCAGGAAAGACATGCACTGGCTGAAATCACTGAGTCGCTTCTGTATTGTTCAGTGCAGCATCTCAACAAGCCCTCAGCTCGCTGGATTCTCCCCATCTCTCAGCCTTTCTGTCCACAGTGGCTGCCTTCTGGGCAGTTTCCCCTCCTACTCATGGGCTGCCTGCCAGCAGCAATCTGGAGTGCGTGCTCCTTGGATCACAGCCAGCAGAAAGTCGAAAAGATTGCTTCCAGAAGACCCCCAGTAGTTGGAAGAGGAACTGTTCCAAATGTTTTCAACATATCTCATCTCATTGGCCTCTCACAGGTTCAGGAGTAGGTCACCTGCTTGTTTCTGGACCAGTCCCTGGCAAGGGTTGGGAGACTGCCCTTAAGCCTGTCTTGTCCACCCTGGAGCTGAGTGGGAGTGAGTTTTGCCCTAAGGCCCATGAGCTGTGTCAGGGAAGAGTGGATGCTCGGGGTTGTGGAGTCCTTTGAGGAGGGAGGTACAGGAAATGGCCATTGGGAGGCAGGCGGGAGTGTCTGCTGCATTTGAAATCCTCATAGCTTCCCTTCCCCTCATCTGTCCATCCCCTACTTCTGCTGCCTTTTTTTTTCAGTAAGTCATAATGAACTTCCTACTTCTAGTTTCAACTCCCCCGCAGTTCATTTTGCTTAATAAATCTAAGCTGTTCTTTATTTTCATTTAAGAAAAAGAAAACAATTACAGTGGCTGCCTTTTGCCTGCCAAATAGATTTTATGTCAAAGTTCTGATTTTGTCCCACTTTCCTTAAGAGCTTTATGTTCCACTACCGATTGTTTTTAGTTCTGCCAGTGCCTTCCCACATACATTATACTATAACTCCTGCCTAATATATATGTGTGTGTGATGTGCATACATATACATATATACATAGTATATAATTAATATACACATATACACACATACATAAGGTGATAAAGTATTCTAAGTATATCTGTATATATGTATGGCTAATACATAACACCGTTTCATTCAGCATTGAGCGTATGCCTTCTCATCTAAACTTGAGTTCCTTATTTCATGGATCACATCATCACGGTGCACTAGAGCCACCTAGTAAAGAGAAGAGGAAAAAATATACTGATTATTGGGTGGTTAATTTAAAAGAAAACAGCAGAATGTAACTACTGCCAAATTCTGAAAATAATTGTGATAGTGATTTTATCTTGCCATTTAAAATCTATTCCTTTCCCCTCACACAAAAGAACCTTTTGAAATCTGAAAGCTGTAACTTCTAGAATATGGTGAAGTGTATGGTAATTTTTGTCCTGGAGACGGACCATGATTTATTAATAAAAGCTAACACTTGAGGGGTGCTTACTTATCCAGATACTCTTCTAAGTACCCTGCGTGTGTTTAATCATTTAATTCTCAGCAATACCTAAAGGTAGTCATTGCAAATTGTCCCCACTTTATAGATAAGGAAATAGGAGCAGCGATGTGAATTTCCTTACTGAGGTCACCCAGCTAGCAAATAGTGTGGCTAGGGTTTGAACCCAGGCAGCTTGACTCCACAGTCCAGCTCTTAACCACAAGCAGTTAACATTTCAGCAGCCATTACACACACCCACTCACTCCAAAAAGATATACTCCATAGAGTACAGAGATTTAAGCCAGCACTCCAAAAATAAATTGGCATGCAAAACTGGCCCCTCATACCTCAGCATAATAAAATAAATTGCAAAAACTGTGAGGCATCCCACAGTAATTTTATCTATGTGAATGAAACTGAATTCTTAAACCATAATCAGCTTGTGCGGCCCCTCTGCAGGTGTCATTTCTGCCAGATGACAAAAGCTATCTCATAATCTTGGGGTTATTTTTGAGGAAGAAGGAATTAAGTGATTTATATCTTATGTTAAATTGCTTAAAGCCCTTAGTCAAATTCAGCTGATTAAGAGGCTTATGAGAGTCTCACTTGCTTTCTTATATTAGTGTAAGGATATTGTTTCAGATTTATCATTTGCAGTTTTTTTTTAACATAAGATGAGGGAAACAGTTTACTGACCTGAAATAATTTATAATGTCAGCAGAAATTATAGGACCAATTTGAAAATATATACTAGATATTATTTCATCATTTTGAAATTAAGGTGTTTTTGTAAAAAAAATTTTTTTCAAATGAAATGCAAACGATTATTTCTTCTCTAAGCATATACTCTTTTGGTAAAACAAAAGGCATTTGCTTCTTGGTTACCAATTTTTAGAATGTAAAATCTTAGTACTTAATCACGACAGGTGAACATTCCAGAAAGGATAATAGAGGATCCACTACCTGGTTATTTTTTGCAGTCCTCTCCGAGGGTCCCCCTGTATCCAGAATCTCCACAGACTTGCCAAGTAGCTTAAATGCCCTAGAAGCAAACACGTACATCAGAGAAATCAAGTTTTCCTATAATTGTGTGAATATTTTGAGTCCTATTGACAAATTTTAGTCTTCATTTTAGCTATTGGTATGCTCTTTTGTGAATTTAAGAGAGAGAAGAAGGGAGAGGGAGGGAGAGAGAGAGAGAAACATCGATCCACTGCCTCCTGCACATTCCCTCCCTACTGGGGATCGAGCCCACAACCCCAGCATGTGCCGTGACCGGGACTCCAACCTGTGACCTTTCAGTGCCACACTCAACCAATTGAGCCACATGGGCCAGGTTAGATATGCTGTTCTACCTGCTCTCTTGGTGTACACATTTATTTAGTTTATAATAAAAGGCCTTTAAGTGTTGTATACATTTTGAAAAGGTGAGGACAACTGTGAGTAGTAGATTTTTGTCTCTTTTGGTTTCTAATCTCATCAAACTGAATTTGAAATCTTACAGGTTGTAACTCCTTTTAAGCAAAAGTGGTTTACCAGCCTTTGTTATACCAAGTACTTGAATATACTAGGTTGGATGGATGTCTCAGGTGGAAGGAGCCTTCATAATTTCAGTCTCTGTCATCTTAAATTCGTGTAATAATTTTGTTTTATTTAGTACAGAAGAATGAAGGGAACTTTTTTTTTTTTTTTGGGTTATGTGTATTACAGGTTTCCCTGAAAGGTCACATAATCATAAAAATACCATAAGTTAAGGGTATTATCACCAATTGTTGTGATTTAGGTAAACATAATTAATTCTAACATAATCAGTTATTAAATGTTTTAAATATCTAGACTTTAATGACTATTAGTCTAAATAAAATATTAGTATAAAGTATTATATTTAGTATATTATTTGGTTTCATTTAGTATAAACAAAATGGGTTTTGAAGAGAAGTGAATGGTAAATTCATAAATTCCAGTATATGTGCTGTCAGTGTGCTAAGAGAGGAAAGCTGTTTTACTTCTCTGTATTAATTCAGAAGCCCCCCGATAATTTTTCTAGTAGGCCTACACTTCCCAACTGTAGTAGGCCCGCACTTGATATGTTCTCATCTTCAGAGAAATGAATTTTGCCCCATAATGAATTTTCCGGATGCCAACTTAACTTTTACAGCCGACAATTTTTTTACAAAGTTGAACAATTTCCTATATTTCTATTAAGCGAATTACCCGTATCGCTGCCCCTTCAAGCAGAGAAGGCTGAATATAATTAAAATTATATTTTAATCTATAATATCATTATGAATATTGAATGACTATTGAATAAATACTGAACTGTGATACCTTACAGTGATATCTTTGAAGGGCTTACGGGAGCCTTGCACACTGAGTGGCTCTGGGCTAGTCTTGGAGCCATGTCTCTGCTCTTGACCATGTTTAGTTTTCTCTCTACAACTTGACTCTTACTCCTTGGTAATTCATGTGACCTTAGTCACTAAAGCCTCTCAAGAGGGACTCCTTCTTAGTAAAGTTCATAACTATGAGAGAATAGGCATTGTCACATCTGTCTTGGGTTTTTTAGAGTTAGATTTTTGGTTTTAGTTTTCTGTTTCCCTAATTCTTAGCCTTTTGGAGATTTGAGGGAGAGCAAGAGAGAAACATTGATTTGTGTGCCTACTTGTGCCAGGCTTTGTGCTGGGGTAACTTCCATCATCTCAGTACTTATCTCACTAACTGTTCACAGCAGTCTTATGGATAGATATTTCTATTTTCTCATTTTATGGTGAGGAAAATGAGAATTAAATGCTGATAGAGACAGGATTTATCTGATTTAAAACCTTATCCCTGCTTTTTACTAAACCAGGCTGCCTGGTTATAACCATTGGATCCTAACATGCTGTCTTCTGACTCTATCGTGCTACTTGATGTTGTTAAATAACTGATTTCTGGAAAAAGTAGGTGTTAACCTGTACAAGGCTCATGTTCCTAGTCCTTGGAGTAAAGGCTGTTTTGAAGTAGGACTAGGAATGATAAAACAGTGGTGTGCGTGCACTTATTCATCTCTGCTGCTAGAATGTGAAAACATGTTGAAAGTGTGTTAGTATTAACTGGGAACTTTTCACTCACAAGGGAAGGAAATATTTCTTTGAATGCTGAGTGGTGAGTGGATGATAGGTCATACATCCCTGAACCAGCTTTTGTGCGTTTTACTTTGTAATTCAGCTACATCATTTTAGATGGGTATCCATGTGGTGCTGGTAGAAAACTGTCACTCTTGTCCCTAGCGTTACTGTTACCTGAAGGGTGAGCAAAGCAGAGTGAATGAATGAGTGAGTGAAATGGATGGGTGGATGGATGGGTATATATGTTGGTGGCATGGTTTATAAACCAATTGTACTATATGGAATTGATTGAGTATAGTACATTGTACATAGTAAATCAATCAGTGTATTAAAAACTAACATTTATTAATGAGTTTATTAATATATGGGGAGTGGTAAGTGCATTCTACTCTCACGGAAATTTTAAGTGACAGGCCTTCAGAGTAAATATTCAAGTCCAAGTAGACATTTTTATTATTAAGAAAAAGATAAATTAACTTTTTAATAAAGAAAAATTTTAACTGTGACTTTAAATTACTAGGATTCTTGTTTAACCTCTTCCAAATAGCATGTAAAATATTTGCTTTGCTATAAAATACTTGCTTTGAATTTTTCTTGATATAACTTTTTTCATTTTCAGTGGTGAAAAAACTAAGTAGATTTTGAAAAGGATCATTTTTACAATGAAAACTGTTGTTGTTAGATATCATTTATCTTGTGTAGTTTTTTTTGCTTTTTTTTTTTTTGAGATGGAGCTTGATATCTTCTATACCCTACCCCACACGTTTGATTACAGGAACGTTGCTGTCCCAATCACTGTAACCTGAAAGCAGACAGTGTTAGGATTGTTTCACATTTAGGGTATTGCCAAGAAGTCAATTATAGCACCTGAAGAATCCCATCAAGATTTAATATTCAAAAAGATGTTTCAAAAAACTAAACACTTTGCTTAATTAGAAATGACTGGAAGCAACTTGGTATCCCTGTATTGCCCTTTCTTCCTAATAAGTTATCTGCAAATGGTTTTTCTACCAATGTATTTTCAAAAAGGATGTTTTTTGAGCTTTAGGGAAATATTGTTCATTAGGACTCACTCTTGACCATCTTGACAATAGACATGGTCATTTGCTTCCTGAAAAACAGGGCAGTTTAATCTTTAATATATATATTTTTTGCATTTGCACTTCTAATAACACATACTTAAAACATTTAGATGAGCATTTTCATTTCTATACCTTTACACACTGTGTCTATGTATAAATGTGTTTATTTTTATACCTTTACATTCATTTCTGGGGCAACAGAAAAATGGTAGCTTCCCAGAGTTGTTTGCTTCATCTGCCAGCTCTTGTTGTTGAGCTGAGATGTATAATTCAGCTTTTCTCCAAGGATTTTTGACACTTGTGCATATTCTGCTGTATAGAAATGTACATGAATTTTCTTCTGCAATGAATGGCTGGCAACTGAACTTCTATTTTTATCTTATTTTTTTCACACTGCTGCTTGGATTGCAATGCTGCAAGCAAACCACATGCTTTGTCTTTAACATTCTTTTCTTTATAAAACGTGTCTTCTTGCAAGGATCACACGTCAGTATATTATTTTGGTCATTCTGAAAGTAATGGTTCTGAATGTGATGGGGAAGAATGGTAAGTGGAATCATTACTTCTAGAACATCGCTTACATGCTGACTTCATGTTTATTTCCCCCCTTGGGCACCTGTTCCTCTTTGGAGCTCTACTTGTGTTCATAGATATTTCAGATATTCCATTCTCCTTGCTTGATAAGGAAATTCATCTTCTTTTCTGTGATTCAGGATATATAATATATACATTGAACACATATCTCCATCGCCATTTGATTTCAGTTCTTTCGCACCTCGATGATTTCTAGATCCAAGTTGGAAAATATGACCCTAGCCATTCAAGGTCCATCTCTTAACTGCTTTGCTGTCCTTTGCCATGGCTGCTGCTTCTCTTGCATCTCCTGTTGGTAACTGAATGCCATGTTTATACTCAAGATGATTTCTTCTCTGTGACATTTGCCATTGTTTTCCATCCAGACTGTGATCTGACTTCTGGTTCTCTTGAAGTAATACCAGTGGCCGTTACTCTGCTCCCTCAAATGCTAGAAGCTCCCCAATATTTTGAATTTTCTCTTATTTTTCTCATTAGGGTGCAGCTTAGATGCCAAGCAAGTTGAGGAACAATCTGCAGCTGCAAACGAAGAAGTACTTTTTCCTTTCTGTAGGGAACCAAGTTATTTTGAAATCCCTACAAAAGAATTTCAACAACCGTCACAAATAACAGAGAGCACTATTCATGAAATCCCAACAAAAGACACACCACCTACAACAGGTGCAGGGCATGCTTCATTTACCATTGAATTTGATGACAGTACCCCAGGGAAGGTAACTATTAGAGACCATGTGACAAAATTTACTTCTGAGCAGCGCCACAAGTCAAAGAAGTCTTCTCCTGGAACTCAAGACCTGCCAGGGATTCAAACTGGAATGATGGCCCCAGAAAACAAAGTCGCCGACTGGCTAGCTCAGAACAACCCTCCTCAGATGGTCTGGGAGAGAACAGAAGAGGACTCCAAAAGTATTAAAAGTGATGTTCCAGTTTACTTGAAAAGGTTGAAAGGTAAAGTGAATTGATCATTTCAGAACTTCCTATGTTGTGATAAAGAAAATTCAGTCTTCACTGTTACCAAACTACTATTAGACAAACAATGTGGTAGAAAACTGCTCTTTCAAAGGTTTATATTTGATTTTAAAGCTCAAAAGCAAGCCCATGTGCAGCTCATTCAAAATAGTCTGTCTTCATTTTCTTGCCAAAACCAGATTGGTTTTGTAAATTTAGATTTATGCCATTAACTATGTCTCTTTTTTTCCTATGGAAATAAAAGATTTATTCAGTTCACCAGTGGAATTCCCTAGAAGACAATTCTTATCATTTTCTTGACTTAAGGAAAAGATATATTCAATAATATTCTTCTCTAATGGGATGCTTCCAGTAAAATGTCAGCATCTAGAATTTGAAAGAAATTTTAAGCCACTTAATAATGGATCAAAAGTTCTACTTAGGTAATATAGTCACATTGTTGACAGTGTTTCAAACTTCTCAGTGGTTACTCATGAAACAAAAAATTTTGGTTTAGAGATAACTTGCTAGGAATCAATTGAATTACATATTTTTTCAATCGTCAGACTTTTTTATAAATCACAGTTGAATTATTTTTTGTGAAGTAGTTTTTATATTGGCCAAAAATTGCAAAATCTTTATACCTGTACATTGAGGTATTAGCTAATCAATTTGTTCCATTGGTAATTAGAATAAGCAACGAGTGACCTGAAAATCAGTGACAAGACTGACCCTGACTTAACTTGTACTTTATGCCCTGGGAACCAAGTAATGAAGAAATACTATTTCTGATTTGCTTCTAAGGTATTTCTGGATAGTGAGATGGTGAGATTACCTAAATCTTTGTTGGGCCTATTGCTATATTTAATTATAATCATAAGCAATTACCTGGCATATGTACTTTGACGTGTGATTGTTATCTTTTACTTCTACTGGCTGATATTAAGTATATAGTTGAGACCTATATATGTATATATACAAACAGGTTAAAGCTTACAAATAAAAGGTACCCATTTGTAAACTGTTTTTATGAATTGGATAAATAATACTGATATCCTAGTATAATGTAAAAGGTAGCATAAACCTTGAAAATTTAGAAGTACAGCAACATTGTCTTTTAAAAACCACTTTTAATAAATGTATAAAAAGTGAGCTAAACGATCCTTTTAAAAGCTACCATTTTAAAAGTACCCATTTTTAGTCATCACCACTATTTTCTGTATTTGCTATTATTTTTAAAAGGAGGCACTAATGCCCACATTCACCGTATAGCTATACATTAATGATTATATATTTGAAAATCTTACCAGAAATTATACAATCAAATTACTATCCCTGAAAATTGATTTCTAGGTAGACACATATTTTGGTATGTTACCATTGCTTAGAACCCTTCCTTTGGATATGCCCGCGTACCGTTTTACAAGACATCTGAAAAAACCTTTGTGAATATAAGTCAGTTTGGTCCCAGATAGATCCATTTTATCACTCCAGATATATTTACAAATCACATTTGATTTTACCCAAAGTCAGAGCTGCCACTGTTAGATAAAGATTTCCCACATTTTAGGATATCTAAAGTATCTATCTAGACTCGAAATAAATGTAATTATAGCACATAGTAACAGTTTTACAATCACTAGACGTTCAGCCACTGTTCAGATCAATCAGAAACTTGAAAGTAGGCAGAACAACACAAAAACAAAAGGCTTTGCTCCTGCAAGAGGAAAGTGCAGGTGCTTTCGGACAGTGAAGCAAATAATGTTCACAAAGCCCATATCCTCGCACCCTTCAGGGGAGTGGCAGCTGCTTTGGGGGGCTTCTGACTTGGTGCAGCTAAACTACCCTAAAAGGTGCTTCGAGGACTTCAGCTTAGGTAGGCATGGTCCACAATAGGCAACAGAAAGAAAGAAACTCGGGGAGGAGAGCTTCCTAGGGGGTTTTTTGTTGAGTGAAAACAGCAGTTGCAGTTCTGATCAGGTGTCTCACCTTGCGTGACACTGAGAAATGCAGGAAGAAATAATACATTTTCCCAAAAAGGAATGGCTAACTTACAAATTAAAGTAGAATTTTTTAAGTGTTTCTATTGATTTTTAGAGAGAGGAAGGCAGAGGGATAGAGAGAGAGAAACATCGATGAGAAACATCATCGATCAGCTGCCTCCTGCACGCCCCTTACTGGGGATGGAGCCTGCAGCCTGGCATGTGCCCTGACTGGCAATCTAACCAGTGACCTCTTGGTTCATGGGCCGATGCTCAACCTCTGATCCACATCGACCAGGCTAAACTTAAAGAGAAGGTACTGAAAGAACCTGACACCACTTACAAGTGCCAAATTTTACATGTTGGTACAAGAACTAAATTCTGTAAAAATGGTGTTTTCATGTTGTGTGTGTGCGATATTGGTTATTTGCACTTATTATGGAGGAAATATTGGAGTTTAGTTATATCCAGCTTTTACAAACTGATTTCTTTTCAGTATGTCCAATGCAACAATGAAATAGGTTGTAAAAGGTCCTGTTTTTAATGACTTTTGTATTTGAAATGGTGTGTTTTTTTGGTTTTGCATTCTATCTGCTCTCCCTAAGTCCTAGCTTAATTACCTGTTAATTAAACAGATATGTGGTTTTTTTCCTTTTTAGATTGCATTTTGAGTAGTTACTAATTTGCAGAAAATTTCAGATTTGTTGTTGTATCTGAGGTTTATATTGCCCACCATCCCTGTGCTGGGAGTGCTCCCTCTTGTGAACCCCCTTTGCTTCCCTTGCCTGTTTTCCAAAGCATTGCCCTTGGGTGTGTGCTCCATCTTCCTTTCTTCTGAGTCTTCTCACCCCTTTCCTATACCACAGTTTTACAGCTGATTCTCTTGTAACCTCTCAATTTATTAGAACAAGACCATGAATATTAAAACTCAACTTTTTCCTGGGACATGTGCATTGTCACCCCTCCCAGCCTCCAAGTCTTTCAGTTCTGATCTTCATCTTCTTCGATGCCACATTATTCAGCAAGTGTTCAGATTAAAATGTATAGCTTAATATTAAAAATTAATAAATTTAAAAATGTTTAAATCAGACTTAGGCCCAGCATCCCTAGAATGAATGCAACTGGTTGACAAGGTTCATTTATAGCTTCCTTGTGAAGAAGCCCTCATTTAAGCCTCATTTATGATTCAATCTTGAACACACTTAGAATAACTCTTGATTTTCTAACNTTCATTTATAGCTTCCTTGTGAAGAAGCCCTCATTTAAGCCTCATTTATGGTTCAATCTTGAACACACTTAGAATAACTCTTGATTTTCTAATAGTTTTATGCTATAACAATAGAATAATTATTTGACTATTGTAATGTTCTTATTTAGATACTGAGCATTCTAAATCAGTGAACAATCCAGTATTTTCATAAAAGTTTTACATTGAATCCCTAATACAACTATGAAGGGTAGCAAAAAACCTCTTAGAAAGCTGATACTTCAAAATTCAAATATATTCTAACTTGACTCTAACATTTCGTGGTGCAAATTGATTTTTATATGCTTATATTTAGCACCATGTCATTTTCCCAGGAGATGTTTACTCAGACTTATATAGGATTTTGTAGATAAGTCTTTTAGCGTGCTTTATTAACTCTTTGAAGCTACAAGAGTTTAGAGCGCAAATGCAGATTTTCAGACATTCTGGTAGCCAGAAAGATGTTTGTAAACAATTGTACAGTAACTATAAAACTGTAGTGTATATCATCGAAGGATAAGATTCATCACACTTTCATGGCATTCTCTTTTCCTGTGTAATGATAAGCATTTCAGTGGACTCGTCCCTTTTCTGTCTCTTCCTCTCTAATGGGAGAAACAAATTTTTATTGCTTAAATAAAGTATAAGTTTTAAAGGTAGGAATACAGACTATCATGGATGATACAGCGTTGCTTATCTGTTAAGGCACTGATGCATCATTTTAAAGTTAAAATTTGGAGAAAGTCCTTTTCAGTTGTTTATAAAGGACCTCATTGTTGGTTGATAAAATTTGAATGGAAGCATTGCATTTGAGGGAAGTTTGCAGAGCCTGTTACTGGAAAGAACATATGACTTTGGATTGGAAAGGCGAAGGGGGCAAAACAAATGGCACTTGTGTGTAGCCCTCTTACTTTCTACATGGGAGTGTTTCCTTCTCTATTATGCTGTTTCTTTTTTGTGTCCAGGAAACAAACATGATGATGGTACACAGAGCGATTCCGAAAATGCTGGGGCTCACAGGCGCTGTAGCAAACGTGCGACTCTCGAGGAACACTTACGGCGCCACCATTCAGAGCAGAAAAAGCTGCAGAAGGCCCAGGCCACTGACAAGCATCCAGACCAGACTGTTGTAAGTCAAACCGCTTTTATGATTGCATTCTTTGATGAAGACAACCCCAGAAAAAGAAGGTCCTATTCTTTTACCCAGAGTGTGGGAATCTTATGTGAGGAAGCTGCTTACTCAGCACCACATACAGAACTTGCAAAACCAAAATCTCCAACGGCAGATGCCAAAGTGGTTTCTTTGTCTTTACAGACTAGCTCTGCGCATCACAGAGGGGGGCATGGTGTCCCACATGGGAAATTGTTAAAACAGAAATCAGAGGAGCCTTCGGTGCCAATCCCCTTCCTACAAACTGCCTTGTTAAGAAGTTCAGGGAGTCTTGGGCACAGACCAAGCCAGGACATGGATAAAATGTTAAAAAATCAAGCTCCTTCTGCTACTCCTGGAAAGGATAATGATGATGACCAAAGTGACAAGGGTACTTATACCATTGAGTTAGAGAACCCCAACAGTGAGGAAATGGAAGCAAGACAGATGATTGACAAGGTAAATAAGGGCAATGTGGGCGTGCTCTTAGTTTTCGTGGGGTGGCTTTGGCTGTCGGCAACTGTCGGAGAGTCAGCATGAGATGTCCTCATGCGGTCAGTGGCGTTGGCACTTTAGGATTCGTTAGGGGACTGCGAGACTGGCGATGAAACAAAATGCTTTCTGACNGGCGTTGGCACTTTAGGATTCGTTAGGGGACTGCGAGACTGGCAATGAAACAAAATGCTTTCTGACTTTATTCTGCTTATGTTCTGAACTTGCCTGCGTTTCACAGATCAAGTCCTGTACACTTCAAGTGTTGGGACGTATTAAAGTCGCATAAATTTAAGACAGGATTTTAAAGCAGCATTCTTTCTTTGGCCACTCTCACTTTGCACTTATTTAAAAACTAACAAACAGACAACAGATTGCTATGACTCTGTTAATATAAACATAAGTGTTAGCTGACAGCAGTCAGTCAATCATAGGTTTCCTGCCTATTTCTTGTTGGGAGCAGGTGAAAATACATGTTTTAATCAATTTTGTTCTTATGTTCTTAATTTCTGTTCACTTCTGTCTTTGGTGATAGAAGAATGTATGGAAACAAAATCAGCTTGTTCATGATACTTTGAGTTTAGTGAGCCTATGCCCAGTCCTGATGACTGTTTACATTTCAGATCTGTTCCGATGTCATTGGTTAATCTGTATAGTGATTGTTGTATGGTTTAAAAAGTGGTTTTTCTTAATTTTACTCATGGTGATGGAAAGTTGACTTTATTTTACTCCCTGGAAAACAGCAACCTAAGATTGGCTAAAGCTTGATCTCTTGTTTAAGTTCTTGTTACTCAGCCTGTGAACAGCATTAGCATCACTCGAGAGCTTGTTAGAAATACAGACTCTCAGGCCCATCCTGCACGTCCTGCACGTCCTGCACGTACTGAACCAGAACATGCTCTGAGAGCAAGAGCTCCAGGTGGTTCGCAAGTGCATTAACATGAGGGGCACTAGTTTAAATGGTGAGTTTATAGAGTGGTCCTTTGGGGAATAGACAAAATAATCCCTTTGGGATACAGGAAGATTATTAGCTCTTAGGTTCACTTTTAATGTCATAGTTTTTATTTCCAGTTTAGAGCGGGTTCTCTAGGTACACTGGAACAGGTATATAATTTCTAAACATACATTTATTGAGGAGCACATGCTTTGTATTTTTTACTATTGAGATGGAGACCCATTAGTCTAGGAACCAGATGTTATGCAAACAATGTTATGATAGTTGTTAATAAGCGAGGTACAGCAAGTAAGAAACAGATGAATCGAGTGAGCTCTATGATTAGATTAAAGGAAGTTTAAGGACACAATGTTAGTACAGAAAATGACTCGTGGGGATTTTGACTTATTTTCATCATTGGGAATTGATAATGACATTTCTTCCCGATTATTTTAAAGTTCATAATTTTCCCTTTATTGAGAACAAGTACATTGCCATTTAAAATACTGTCAAATGGAAAATAAAAGAATAGGTTTTGAAAAAAAGAGAATGGTAAGAAGTTTTAAAATTCAGATTAATATCAATTTTATGTCTTTGTTTGGTTTATGGATGTTTTATTATAGTGATCCATATTTTCCATGTTAAAAGATACTTTAGTGAGGGATTATATCACAGTATTTAATAACATGCACACTTGCAGGCAGGTGGATCTGGGATTAAATATAAACTCTACATGTACTAGATGTAAGCCCTTGAGTAAACTAACATCTTTAAGCCTCTGTTTCTTTTTGCTCTAAAATCGAAGAACTTTCACTAGGTTATAAAAATAATTCAGTAAAGTATATAAAATCCTTTTCACAATGCCCCTCTTTTTAATAATACGAGGTCTATCAGTGTTAGCTATGTTATTACCCTTACTAGGACTCCCTACATAGGAATCTTTACACGAGCCACTGATAATCCTGGAAAGTTCTTCCAGCACCGAAAGGGTCAAATCTGAGGCCCAAGTGGAGGTTCTAGTGCAAGGGAGCAGCCTGGCCAGAGTAGCAGGGAGCCAGGAAAGAAGTCCTTATTGCAGCTGGACCCTTTAGAAACTGCTGGCTGGAGGGTGACCACCAAACCTAGTGTCTACTTGCTGTCTGTAATTATCAGAGCATTTTTTTTTTTCTTCTCAAAAAGAGTTTCTTTTTTTTTAATATGTTTTTATTGATTTGGGAGAGTGGGTGAGCAACATCAATTGGCTGCCTCCTGCATGCCCCCTACTGGGGGGCCTGTGTNTTATTGATTTGGGAGAGTGGGTGAGCAACATCGATTGGCTGCCTCCTGCATGCCCCCTACTGGGGAGCCTGTGTCCTGCCTGACCAGGGATCAAACCAATGACCTTTTGGTGCACAGGACGACACCCAACCAACTTAGCCACAGCCGCCAGGGCAAGTCTCAGTGTCAATGACAAATTATAGGGTCACACTATGAACAGAGAAAACCAAGATTTGAAGTAGGATTTATTTAAGGGAGTCCTGGTGCTGTGTGACTGAGTAGGTAATTCCCAGTCATCCTCAGTTTGTGTGAACCAGAAAACAAAGCTGAGACCGCAGCATTAGGGATAAAGAGTCACTCCATTAGCTGGCGAAGATCAAAGAAAAAGCCGAGGTTCTCGTAGCCTTGGTTAAATCTAGAAGGCAAATTCAGGCCAACTGACGTCAGATCCCAGGACAACAAAGGCAGGGAAGCAGGAACCAGGTGTCTGAAAAGGTGACCTAACCTGTGGGTGTGGAGAAAACAGAGCCCAAGAAGAGCCAGATGGAGGCGCAGGAGCTCCAGGAGCAGTAAGTACGGCCATCATGTCCACTCACTGAGTGAGGCCTGCCATCCACTGCCTCTCCCTCTGAAGTTGGTGTGGGAAGGACGCTGGGGCCATCGGCTCTGTCCATCTCAATTTAATCGTTGTCTGGTCCTGAAAACTTTTATGTAGTCTCCTTCTGGCGAGAGCTGGTTTGTCCCATTGATTGATTGATTGATTGATTGATTGATTTAGCGATTAACATCAGCTACATGCCAGGCATTGTGTTAGGAGAGATTTGAATGGAAGAGACAGAGCTCTTCCCTTCGAGAAATGAACTCTGCAAGTAAAAGCATGAATTGAAAATAGTATGATGGATGCTTCGAGATATATGAGCTGTTGGAGGAAGGGCACTAGTAGCTTCCAAGAGTATATGCCAAGTTAAACGTGCCTTCCGCCTAAAGAGAAGTCTTTAGCTGTGCGGTTAAGGAAATCTTTCTAGTCACTGTCAAATCAGCTTGTTTTGTTTCAATCATGAGCTTTATCCCTACTTGATAGTTTCCTATTTATTTATTTACCTGTTCACTCCCTCTTCTCTCTCTCTCTCTCCCCCTCTCCTCCTCTCTCTCTCTCTCTCTCACACACACACACACACACACACACACACACACACACACAC